ACAACAGGCCATGTTTTTGATATGCAACTTCAATCCCAAGAAAATACTTTGGCTTTCCCATGTTCTTAGTGATAAAATAACGGTTTAGATACTCCTTAGTCTCAGCTAAGGCAATAGAGTCACTCCCAGTCAGCAGAATATCATCAACATATACGGCTAAAATAACAAAACCAGTTGTTGTGCGTCGAAGAAAGACAGAGTGATCAGCCTGACAACGTTGAAAACTAACATTAGAAATAACCTTGCTGAACTTATCAAACCAAGCTCGAGGACTCTGCTTTAACCTATAGATAGCCTTTCTCAACCTGCAGATAATATTCTCCCCCTAAGCAACATACCCAGGAGGTTTCTCCATATAAACCTCCTCATCCAAATCATCATAAAGAAAATCATTCTTCACATCTAGTTGGTGCATCGCCCAACCCATATTAACAGCCAGAGAGAAAAGAATTCTGATGGAGTTGAGACGAGCAACGGGAGAAAAGGTTTCAAAATAGTCGACGCCATATGTCTGGGTATAACCTTTAGAAACCATGCGAGCTTTATAACAGTCAACAGACCCATTGGGGTGATATTTTAGGTTATACACCCATCTGCAATCAGCCACAGTCACTCTAGTAGGAAGAGAAACCAAGTCCCAAGTCTCTCTAGAAAGTAGTGCATTCATTTCCTCATCCATAGCATGCTTCCAAGCTGGTACTAACATAGCTTCCTCATATGACCTAGGTATAGATACAGTGGACAAGGACAAGGCAAACTGACAAAAAGATGGGTTGAGACGGTCATAAGAGACAAAAAGAGATATAGGATATTTCGGGCAAGACCGTTTACCTTTTCGAAGAGCAATAGGGATATCCAAGTCAGAAGGAATAGAGGTTTCAACATGAGATGGACCGACAGTTGGAGATGAAGGTTTAGCAGTAGCAGATTCAGGGGCATGTACTTTTGGACGGCGAGAGTATGTCAGTAGAGGCTTCGATGCAGGAGCTACAGGAGCATGTAATGGAATAGTAGTAGGAGCAGAAGAAGGTAGTCGTACCTGTGGACAGCCAATAGTAGTAGAACCAGACAAAAAATATAGGACATACTCAAAAAAGGTAACATCAGCAGACACAAAATATTTCCTGGTGGACGGATGATAACACCTATACCTTTTTTGAGTACGAGAGTATCCAACAAAAACACATTTGATGGATCTAGATGACAACTTATCCAAACCAGTAGTTAAATCCTGAACAAAACACGTAGAACCAAAGACACGGGGAATCACAGAGAATTGTTTTTTATCAGGATAAAGACAATTGAATGGTATTAAACCATCAAGGACAGAGGAAGGCATACGATTAATCAAATAATTTGTAGTGAGAACAGCATCAGACCATAAATACTTTGGAATATTCATATGTATCATCAGTGTTCTAGCAACATCTAGAATATGCCTATGCTTCCTATCAGCAACTCCATTTTGTTGTGAAGTGTGAGAGTAAGAAGTCTGATGAATAATGCCATTAAGAGCACAAAATTTTAAAACATCACTTTTCATATATTCTAAAGCATTATCAGTACGAAGAATACGAACAGAAGTAGAGAACTGAGTTTTTAGTTCATTATAAAAGAGTTCAATAACGTGCGAGACCTCTGACCTCTCTTTTAACAGATAAAGCCACGTCATGCAAGAAAAATCATCAACAAAGATAATAAAATATCGAAAACCTTGCACAAAGGGAACACGATAAGGACCCCAGACATCGGAATGAACCAACTCAAAAGCAAAACTACTACGTTTATCGACTCGACTCTGAAAAGTAGCATGATGGTGCTTACCCAGTTCACACGACTCACAACCTAAAGAGGAAATAGAACTACCGATCTAAGTTTTTGTAGTGAAGGATGACCCAGACACCAGTGCCATAATAAAGTGGAGTCAGACTGTGATGCAACAAGGCTAGCCTCTGGCACACTGTCGTCCAAATAGTACATACCTCCTCTCTTATGCCCCGAACCAATCTTCATCCCAGTTGCTAGGTCTTGAAAAACACAATAAGATGGAAAGAAGGTGACTTTACAATTATTTTGTTTTGTAAACTTTCTAATGGATAATAGGCTAACAGGGAATTTAGGAACATATAACACATCAGTTAGTTTTAAAGAGGAAGTAGCATGAACTACTCCATCGCCACGAACTAGAGAAAGAGTACCATCAGCAATGCAGATAGAAAGAAACTTATCAGAAAGATTTAAAGATACAAAGTGATCCTTTATACCTGTCATATGAGATGAGGCTCCAGAATCTAGTACCCAGGGTTTGTGAGAAGAAGCTATGTAAGCATCCATACCTAAAGAGGATGCATGAGTAGTAGAATAAATGTTCTGAGAGAGTTCTAGATGGCGTAACCTCTCATAATCTACCTGAAAAATCTGAATAGTAGGAGCAGTAACAGCTGGACCACCAGAAGTAGTAGCAGAAATAGATAAGTTAGTCAACTCTGTATCAGCTACCTGGGCCCACTGAGGATGACCAAACTTCTCCCAGCACTTCTCAGAAATATGATTGGTTCTCCCACGATGACCATACTGTCGTGAGCCCTTATCAGATTCACATTGCCTCCCACCAAAGGAGCCACGTCCTCCCCCTGAATCACGGCCACGACCACGACCACGACCACGACCACGGCCTCTGCCTCGATTAGAGAACATGGCAGACTGATCCATCGTAGGTGGAGATGGTGCAGTAGTATCAGAACTAACACCAGTAGAGACCTGCATAACTCTGGAGAATGTAGCAGTCAGTGAGGGAATTGTATCTCCACCCAATATCTGTCCCCTCACCTGGGACTGTAAATTAGGGTTTAACCCAGAAAGAAATTTGGATACTGCCAGATCACGACGATACCCTAATATCGTTGCTGCATCAGCTACTGAAGGCTGATGCATCTCTAGTTCGTCTATCCGTCCCTTCAATTCACCAAAGAATTCCGGAACTGACTTATCTCCCTGTTTGAGCGCAAACAGTCGCTCATAAATTTCAAATACATGGGAAACATTCTTCTCGTTCCCGTACATAATCTTTAGGCTGTCTCACATCTTCTTCGTAGTGGTAAAAAACATAACGCTGCTACTGATCTGTGCTTTCATACTGTTGAGAAGCCAAGTCATAACACAATAATTAGATGATAGCCATGTAGTGTAGGTGGGATCTAAGGTGGGTGGTGGAGATGCCAGAAGATGTGGGAGTTTGCTCTGAACGCCAATGAAGATGCGGAAAGCTTGCGCCCATAGCAGATAGTTTGTACCATTCAATTTGATTGTAGTCCTCAAGACTACCTTAGGCGCAGAGGTCTCTCCAGCAACAACAGGAGTAGTTGAAGAGGAAATATCCGACATCGAAGTAGTAGTTATTTTTGAGCAACAATAGTAGATAGATAGTAGTCAATAGGCAGTGCAGTAGTAGAGATAGTATTCAAAATAGGTAGTGCATATAGTAGGCAGGTAGTAGTCAAATAGGCAGTGCAACAATAGGCATACTAGGCAGAATAGTAGATAGTCACGTCCTCACGCCGTGGAGGCGATATCAGCTGAGGGAGAGAGCCCTGGCTTCTGTTTGCACAAAGGCTCCAGTCAAACTCTATATTCTCGTTTCTCGAAGGAAACAAGAATAGAAGTGAAATTCTCGTTTCTTGAAGAAAACAAGAATAGAAGTGAAAGATCTCAACGAGGTGAGATAGACACTCTTCCTCTCATCAGTTCTATGACTGAAATGTCGAGGGATACAATCGTCCTCTCATCAGTTCGAAGACTGAGATGTCGAGGGAATAGGCACTGTAGCGGCGGCGGTACTGTAGTGTGGCACTGTAGCGACGGTGGTACTGTATCGCGACACTGTAGCGCGGCACTGGGGCGGCGGTAGTGGCGGCGGCAAGGAGAAGAGGCGGCGACGGCTAGAGTTTTTGAATGAGGATTTGTGACGGCTAGTGTTTCATGCTCTGATACCATGTAGAGAATAGAGAAAACCCTAATTGTTGTTTATTGAGAAACAAGAGAGAGATATATATAGCCATACAAATAGGGTTAAGGTTAACAGGTAACAGCCCATTAACCCAATACCCAATACTTAACTTAACATGAACATTTATTTCTTTATTTTATATAACAACTCTCTCACACTCTTCCTCTTCTTAGCCATTAAGGATTTTAACGTATTGTTAGTATCAATGGGGTAAGTTTCTGTCAGTACGTTATATTTTTCTGTAAATGTGAAAGTTTGTCATATTTTACCCTACTAAAAATAATTTATAATAGATTTATGGAAAACCTAAACAGTTCATAATTGTATAGTCTAAGTTTTAAACTAATACCAGATATATATTATAAACATTATATAATAGATTATCGGAGTCAATCCACACCCAGAAAACCCAGCAATCCCAATTAGGGTCCAATTACAACCTCCAACTGCACTCTTCAACGAATTCGAACTTGTAATCAGTAGCCAGCTGCCAGATCCAGTGGAATTCAAACCAGAGTTGTGTTCTAAGGCTGCATGTCACTGTTGCATTAAATTCGCATCACCAACATCCACCAGTCTCTCATAAATGAAACCCAATATATCAAAATTCAAAACAAAGTTAACTAAAACCCCAAAAATAACAGCAAGGTAGCACAAACCTATCCTCTTCCTCTCTGTCAAACAAGCACCCACATCTCATTTCCTCTTGCTAACCAACTGGCTCCCTCTTTATAAGCAAGCCCAAACTTTAGTACGATCTCTCTTTATACCCACAAGATAAAAGAAAATAAAAATAAAAATAGAAAATATGAACACGAGTAGTGAGAAAGTAGGGAAAGGAGTGGTGCGGAGGATGGAGCGAACAAGCGCCGGGCTTGGTGGCCACGGCCTCAGCATTGGGATTGTTTTTTTATATTTTTTTATTTTTATAATTTTTTATTTTATTTATTTTTGAGCCCGCTGAGCGAGACGCCTGTGGAAAGAAAGCATTAACTAGATTCATCGGATGTATCGGCCAGGCTGACATGGAAGGACTTGACAGTCATGGTCACGCTCCGCAACGGCGAGACTCAGACTGTTCTGGAAGGCCTTACCGGTTATGCGGAGCCGGGTACGCTCACCGCCCTCATGGGCCCGTCCGGCTCTGGAAAGTCTACTCTTCTTGATGCTCTCGCTAGCAGGCTTGCTACAAATGCTTTCTCCTCAGGGCATGTGCTTCTCAATGGCAGGAAGACTAAGCTCTCCTTCGGAGCTGCGGTACGCTGGCTAACAAAAATTTTACAAAAAACATTTCAAGTGAAGGACGATACGCTTGATTGTGTTTTTGTAGGTCGATAATTTTTGGGTATTGAGGGTGTTTTAACTTTCATTCAGGCGTATGTGACGCAAGATGATAATTTGATTGGGACGCTGACCGTGAGGGAGACGATCATGTATTCTGCTAAGTTGAGGCTGCCAGATAAGATGGCTGCTGAGGAGAAGAGGGCGCTGGTCGAGGGGACGATTATTGAGATGGGGCTTCAGGATTGTGCTGATACTGTGATTGGAAATTGGCACTTGAGGGGGATTAGTGGAGGAGAGAAGAGGAGAGTTAGCATTGCTCTTGAGATTTTGATGAGGCCCAGATTGCTGTTTCTGGATGAGCCTACCAGTGGTCTTGACAGGTAACCAAATTTAAATCCTCTTTCTAAATTTACATATGTTCATTATGAGTTTGTACATACTTTGATGTTCCTCCAAAAATTACAGTGCTTCCGCGTTCTTTGTGACACAAACACTTCGGAGTCTATCAAGAGATGGTCGCACTGTTATTGCGTCTATTCATCAGCCGAGCAGTGAGGTTTTCGAACTGTTTGATCGACTGTATTTGCTTTCAGGAGGCAAAACTGTTTATTTTGGGCAGGCTTCAGACGCTTATGATGTAATTGAAGATAGTATAAAAATTTTAATTTGTTCTTCATTTGAGAGAGCTAGAACTGATTGTGTATTTTATTACAGTTCTTTGCTCAAGCTGGGTTCCCCTGTCCATCTCTGAGAAACCCATCAGATCATTTCCTTAGGTGTGTAAACTCTGATTTTGATAAGGTGAAGGCAACTCTCAAGGGATCTATGAAGATGAAGGTACAAACTCAAAGCCAATTTCTTTTCATTTGAGCTGAATTTTGCGATATCCTCATAAACTTTCTTATATTGTTCAACAGTTCAAAAGGAGCGATGACCCTCTAGAGAAAATTACAACAGGCGAAGCAATCCGAAGGCTTACTGAATTCTATGCCTGTTCTCAGTATTATTATGCAGCTCGAGAGAAAGTAGATGAGATATCTCGTGTTGTATGTATTCTTAAACTCTTCTCTTCTTCTCCTACTGAGAATTTTGTGTTGCTGATTGATTGGTATGGTTCTGTTGCAGAAAGGAACAATCTTGGACTCAGGAGGAAGCCAAGCGAGCTTTTTAATGCAGGCGTGTACTTTAACTAAGCGTTCATTTGTTAACATGTCGCGAGATTTCGGATACTATTGGCTTAGGCTCCTGATTTATATCATTGTTACTATCTGTATCGGGACTATTTACTTTAAAGTGGGAACGGGTTACAACTCAATTCTGGTACTAACTCAAAATACTTTGTGTATTATAATCAAATATGCCCTGAAATTAGAGTATGATATTGATTTCTTCTTTATTGTGCTAAAACAGGCTAGAGGTGCTTGTGCTTCTTTCGTCTTTGGCTTCGTCACTTTCATGTCCATCGGAGGATTTCCTTCATTTGTAGAAGATATGAAGGTTACTAACTTTCTCTCTCATCTAAATATATATTTGACAAAATCTTTCATAACAATTTTAATTGACATCCTGTAAATTGTGATGAAATGCAGGTTTTTCAGAGAGAGAGGCTCAACGGCCACTATGGTGTGGCTGCATTTGTCATTAGCAATACTCTCTCGGCGATGCCATTCTTGATAACGATAACGTTCCTCTCAGGAACAATATGTTACTTTATGGTTCGCCTTCACCCGGGCTTTATTCATTACCTCTTCTTCGTGTTGTGCCTCTATGCCAGTGTTACAGTGGTTGAGAGCTTGATGATGGCTATAGCCAGTGTTATACCCAATTTCCTCATGGGAATTATTATAGGAGCTGGGATTCAGGTAAAATATACTTCTCAACTGAACATAAATCTGAACCTCATAGAATTTAATTTATTCGGACGGTTTAATGGTAAAATTATGCAAATTAGAAGGATCCATGACAACTTCTTCTGTAATATTAAGACTATCAATTCTTCAGTTATTTTAGAAAATGTGTTGACTCTTCAAGAATTAGGATCAAAAAGATAATTATACTTAGAAGATGGTCACTAATAGATTATATTCATTGATGGCCATTTCTCAAATGTCAATAAGAGCTGAATGCATAAAATCTTAAGCTTCTTAATCCAATACTTGAGCAAAATATGCTTCTACATGATAGTTTCCCACAAGATTAATGGGATTACTTGAAATTCCTATTTAGCTTTTTTTCCCCCTTCTATGACTCTTTAATGCGTTATTTTATTATCATAATCACTTTCAATGCACCTCTTGCTTAATAAGAATCCAAATGTTCATCAATATGCAGGGAATCTTCATGTTAGTCTCCGGCTACTTCAGACTTCCTCATGACATCCCAAAGCCTGTCTGGCGATACCCGATGACCTACATCAGCTTCCATTTCTGGGCATTACAGGTAAATTAAATCAAACTATTTCCTAATACACCCCCCAAATCTCTCCTATTTAAAACATTCTAAACGATCATATATGTCTGTTTCACTCCAACAGGGCCAATATCAAAACGACCTCCATGGCTTAATATTTGATAATCAGAGCCCAGACCTCCCGAAGATTCCAGGCGATTATGTTCTTGAAAATGTTTTCCAAATTGATGTCCGCAGGTCAAAATGGGTGGACCTGACAGTTCTCTTCAGTATGATAGCAATATATCGCATTCTCTTCTTTGTCATGATCAAGATCAGCGAGGATGTGTCTCCATGGATCAGAGGCTATATTGCAAGGAGAAGGCTAAAGAACAGGCACAAGATCAATGGGTCATCGATTGGTCTCGTTAATAGGACTCCTTCTCTCAGGGGCTATGTTGTAGAACCAAACACCTCAAGTTCTGAGGTCTGAACTGAATCAGAAGTTTTTTCTTCTCCATACAGAAAAAAAAAATGTGATTATATTTGATAATAAGTAATGTCATTTGTTTAAATATAAGTTTTTGTTTAAATATAATTTTGTATTATTTTCTTGTTGTTGATGACACTGACCAATTATCTTTGAAATCAAAGGGAGCACGCACATGAAGGTTTAATTAGTTTCTTGTACACGTATCACATGGCCTGTTACTTTCTTGCTTCTATTTCCTGCATCCCAAATTATACTTTAGAGAAAGTTTCACAAAATCCCCTTATGTTGGCAGTTTTCGAGGTAACACCCTAAACTTTTGAAATGTCACTTAACTCTTCTTAGGTTTTATAAAAAATTATTCTAACTGACACCAACAGATCTCACTATGCGCGTGAAATCACCATAAAATGCCCTAAACGAAAATTATGAGTTTGTCCTCAATGTATACTTTTTCTATCTATTATCAAGTATCAAGAACATCATTTTTTTGGGAAAAAAGGCAACCCAAGAATTGACCCAGCAAGTGTAGCCTTGTGTTGCGCCGTACGGAAGCGTGCTCGACAACCAAACGAGTCGGTGAGCTATGAGAGAAGAAAATCAAACCAAATACGAGTACAATTCACAAAATACGACACAAATCATACCAAACACAGAGATTTACGTGGTTCGGCAATTGCTCACGTCTACGGGGAGAGAATAGGAAGATTATACTATATGGACGAGAAAACAACGGGTTACAACTCATAAAATCACTCAAATATAACCCTAACCAAAGCTCTCAACTCCCTTACAATATCTCCCTCTCCAAGTGCTCAAAAGACTGCTAATTCTCTCCTTAAGAAACCCTAAAAAACATGTTTGTATTTATAACAAACTCAATCCTAAACAATGTAAGACTCTAAAAACAAGTCTGCCACACCCGGGGTGGCATACACTACACCCCTGAAAACAGAGCAGATTCTGTCACACATGAGTGTGGCAGACACCACACCCTAGACAATAGGGGATAGATTTTGCCACCTGGGTGTGGCAGACACCACACCAGGGTATGGTGGAGCATGTCTTGCTTATTTTTCACGTTTTTCTCAATTCTTTTTCTCAATTCCTTCGCTGTTTTCATAATTCTCCACATCAGCGAAGTTTTCCCAAAACTAAGCCGACACCAAACAAAGAGAACCAATGCGCCGTCTCTCCAAACTCGGCTGCACCATTGTGGTTGCCTACATACACCCTCTTCCAAGGGATGAAACCGCTCGTAGTTCATCCAAATGACCGTCAACGGCCTCAATAATTACGAATGTGCAACAAGTTTTGATAATGATCAAACTTGTTGCTCGGAACCACCTTAGTAAGCATATCCTCCGGATTATCCTTCATGTGGATCATCAGAATCTCCACATTGCCATCTTCAAGAACATCTAGAACGAAGTGATAACGAACGTCAATGTGCTTCGTCCTCACATGAAAAACCTGATTCTTCGCCTAATAGATAGCACTCATGCTATCACAATGAATAGTGACGGATCGCTACGATATACGAAGTTCCTCCAAAAGTCCTCGGAGCCAAATAACCTCCTTCACAGCCTCTGAAATCACCATATACTCTGCCTCCATCATCGACAAAGCTACCGTAGACTGTAAGATGCATCTCCAGCACACCGACACATGGGTCAAAGTGAACACATATTATTTCGTAGACCGGCGCTTATCCAAATCACCAGCATAATCCAAATCAATATAACCAATGCACAACTGCCCATCTCTAGTGTCCCGCTCAAAAACTGAACCAACATTGAGAGTACCTCGAATGTATCTCAAAATCTATCTCACGACGTCCCATTGACCCACTCCTGGATCGTGCATGTATCTCAAAACCATGCTCACCGCATGTGACAAACCCGGCCTCGTACATACCATCATGTACATCAAGCTCCCAACCGCGCTCGCATATGGAGTCTTCAATATTAACTCTCTATCTTCAACTGTCTTCGGTGAAAGATCAGCTGAAAGCTTTAAATAGACTCCCAAAGGTACACTAACTGGCTTTGTATCCATGCTAACATGAAATCGTTGTAGAACATTCTTCAAATAAACCACCTATGTCAAACAAATTTTGTCCTTCTTTTTGTCTCTGCTGATCTCCATCCCTAAAATGCGCTTAGCCTCACCTAAATCTTTCATCTCAAACTCCTTTGAAAGTTGTACCTTCAACTCATCTATAGTAGACCTGAAAATAGATGCAACAAACATGTCATCGACATAAAGTAACAAATAAATATATGCACCTCCTTTCAACTTGTGAAAATACACGTAAGGATCAAACTGGCTCCGAGTATACGAATGACCGATCATAAATCCATCGAATTGCCTATACCACTGTCGAAGAGACTGCTTCAGACTGTATATCAATTTTTTCAACCTACAAACCAACTTATCCTTTCCTGCAGCTCGGAATCCTAATGCCTGAGTCATATATATTTCTTCATCAAGATCACCATGAAGAAATGTTGTCTTCACATCCAACTGATCTAACTTCAAATCATATTGTGCCACCAAAACTAGCAAAATCTAAATCAAAGAGTGCTTCATCACCAAAGAGAAAACCTCATTATAATCAATACCTTCCTCATGTTCATAGCCCTTCGCAACCAACCTATCCTTGAACCTCACTGGAGTGCCTTCAATGCTCTCCTTCTTCGTGTATACCCACTTGCAACCAATCGCCTTCCACCCCTTTAGAAGCTCAACAAGTTCACATGTATCGTTCTTATTAAGAGACTCCATCTCCTTCTGCATAGTTTCCTACCACGAATCAGCCTCTGAACTCTGCTCGGCCTCTCTGAAAGTAGTAGGCACCAACTCATCGAAACTCTCCACCGGAAGTGTATATACAACTACTGTGTCGGTATACCGTACTGGCATCTGTATGTCTCTCCTCTGTCTTTGAACCGCAATAGAATCCTGAACCTAAGCCGTCAGTCCCTGATCCTACACATCTGTATCCGTATCCTCCTCGTCATCATCGTGCCCACCTGGCATCACCTCAGTCAGCACTCTAATGGATACTGTACCATCTGGATAATATGAAGCTATATCGATCTCTACCACCTACGATATCTTCTCCGTCGGCGTGCTCTCCACCTGATGAGAGCTGGGAAGCTTCAAAACCAAAGCCTCATTAAAAGTGATCTCTCTACTCAGCACAATCTTTCTATCAACTGGATCCCATAGCTTGTATTCCTTAACACCACACTTGAATCTTTCAATAATGTTCTTCCTAGCTCGAGGTTCCAACAGTTTTAACATGATAGTATTCAGGGCACCCAAATATCTTGAGCTAGTCATAGTCGTGTGCTAGCTCTCCCGATCACATGTCCATAGGGGTCTTCCCCTCAATCGCAGATGAAGGCAGTCTGTTAATGAGTTGGCTCACATATAAAAGTGCCTTAGTCAAAAAGATCTTCTCCAAACCACTATGCGCCAACAAACATTGGATATTCTCTAGCAAAGACCGATTTAACCTGTCTACCACCCTATTCTGCTGCGGTGTATGACTAACTATGAAGTGTCTCTCTATGCCCTCGTCTCGACATAGCTGTTGAAAGGGGTCTGATATGTACTCATCACCATTGTTAGATCATAACGTCTTGATCTTTCTCCTAGTCTGTAGTTCCAACCTCTTCTTCCACTCCATAAATATATTTAGGACTTCACTCTTCTTTGCCATAGTGTACACCCAACAACGCCTAGAATAGTCATCAACGAACATGACGAACTAATATTGACCACCAAGTGATGCAGTTTTGATAGGACCCAAATATCTGTGTGCATATAATCCATGATGCCCCTCATCCTATGAATAACTATCACGAACTTCACCTTCGTCTTCTTGCCAAGAACACAGTGCTCACAGAACTCAACATTTCCACTCTAGGCTCCCTTCATTAGTCCCTATTTGCACAGTGCCTGCAGTGACTTCTCTTCTATGTGCCCCAACCTGTAGTGCCAAAGTATGCGCATATCCACCTCTGAAATAGCTGAACCTACCTGGCCAATCTCGATGCTCTCCTTCAGATAATACAAGTTTCGACTGCGGACTCTCTTCATCACCACCAAAGATCCCTTAGTAACCTTTACTATAGCGTCTTCAAAGGTCACATTGAATCCTTTTGCCCCCAAAGCTCCAACAGAAATAAGATTCTTCTTTAACTGAGGAACAAATATCACCTCTATCAATTCACAGATTACTCCATCATGTATCCGAATCCTCATGGTACCTATTCTACAAATGTCATAGGATTGATCATTTCTCATGACAACAACACCCCCATTGAGTCTCTCAAATGATGTATACCAATCCCACTTGGGAGTCACATGATAAGTAGGGCCAGAATCAAGCATCCAATCTGATGTATCCACATGGTTCACCTCCAAAGTAATCAATAGAGAAAACTCGAATCATCGCCTTTTGTAATATTCACCTCATTGGCCTTCGGGCCCTTTTTCTTGCTATTCTCCTTCTCCTTGATCTTTGGACAGTTTCTCTTCCAATGTCCATGCTCCTTGCAAAACGTACACTGGTTTTTAGCTAACTGGTGATGACCTCTAGACTTTGACCTACTCCTATTACCATCTCTCGTCGACAAGGACTCTCCTGAAGTACTAGCGTGTGAAGTCTCCTTGTCCTTCCTCCTCAAATCATAGTTCGTCAAAGCGTTAGGTACTTCATTATAGTTGATAGAATATCTCCCATTCAATAAAGTAAGCACAAAGGTATCATACTTCTCATCCGGTAAGGAGCCTAACAAAATAATCGCCTTGTACTCATCCGATATCTTCTCATCAATATTCGGCAAGTTCGACAATAACTTAGTGTAATTGTTCACATGAACTGCTAGTTAGGTGCCCCTAGACATCTAAAATCTGAATAATCTATGCAGCAAATGCAATTGGTTCTCAACACTTTTCGTAAGATACTTATTGTTAAGAATCTCTCACATCTTCATTGTAGATGTCACCCCAATCACATCATACTTCAGCTCCTGTTCCAAACAGGATCTGTGCATCCCACAAGTGTTCCTATTCATCTTTTTCCATATCACCTCCTCGTATTTT